ACAACAGTAGGGTGTATCTCTGAATCCGAGTGATTGGGGCTTTGAGATAGGTATCCCAACTGAGACGATTCGACATTTTGTGCTCGCGAGCTTGGTTCAAGAACTGTCGAAAGTGGGCATTTCTCTCCATCTCCTTACGAACAAGGTAGTTGGCGTACGGAAAAGTTGCCGCGTAGTCAATGTACACCATCTTAGCCTTTCGAATCCACTCTCGGAAAATGTCACTGAAGCCCACAATGAACGGGCCTTGTTCCTTCTGCCGGTACTTGAGCTGCGCGAGGAGGTACTCCTCGTTTACTTTCTTGACCGCATCTACCTTTCCAAAAACATCGTTCAGGAACTTCGGTAATCTCTTCGGCGGAATGATGGCAGGTTGCATATTTGCCAACTGATCCCGGTAGAGTTCACGTAGGACGTCCAGCTGTCCGATAAAGGCATCCTCGGTCGTGACAATTTCGTGCAGGTTGTTCTGGCGGTCCACCTCTTTCTTCGGATAAGCCTCCCACACTTCCTTCGGAACCTTGTAGAATGTGACCCAGTCCTCAACCTTCTTTTGCGGTGCCATCTTGTGCGCTTTCAGGTTGACCTTCTTCAGCGTTCGCATGCAGTGGTGCGAATAGCAGCGTCCGAGGATCTCAGTCTCCTGTTCATGGAGCAGGGGCGAATAGCAACCAGTGCCTGTAATTTGGAACAAAACACCCGACAAGGTTCCGCTGCCGAACTTGACCCATTCTTCTTCCTTTACCAGAGCCCCCTGCTCCAGCATGTTCTCAACGACTCGCGCAGCCAGTGTCTCTGCGTCCGCGATATTCATCGTCGGCACCTTGTGAGTGAACAAAGCGACGATCGCGTCGACAATGGCCGATTTCCTCAGGTCCGTTTCCTCTTCACACAGATCGCGAATCCAAGCAAGAACGGCACTGAGCGCCCAAGGTTCGACACATTTTCTGAATTGTTCCGAGGACAGTTTAGACGGATTGAACTTCTTGCGACGTCCCGCAGGGATCGCGGGTAGGTCCAGGGGTATCGCAGGAGCCTCTTGGGCCGCGTCAAGTTTGAAGGCGCCATTCTGTTGCTGTCGAAGCAGATCCAGCTGCTGCTTGTACTTCGCCCGATCCGCATCGGTCTTGGACCTGATAGGGGGGTCAGTCCGGGGTCCAATAGGATGACTTGACAGAGATGTCGACCGTGGCACTTGGGACGTTGGTGTGGACACGGTCGACGCAAACGAATCCGCAGAAACAGGGTACTGAGGGCTTGTATACTGGGTTTCTTCCGGGTATTCACCCGATTCCTGAGGCCTATATGTCCCGGCCGGCATCAGATGAGGCATAAGATCTGCGTTATTCGCTGGTTCAACGGGGGCAGGTGGTAGCGGCCGCATCCCGGGGTGGAAAAAGAGCTCCCCTGGCATCCCTCCTACATCGGATCCTTCACTTCCTGAGTGATGTGCATCATCAGGATAGGCCTCTGCCTCGTCACCGTAATCGAAGCTCATGCGACGCTCGTAAGCGCCAGGCTCTGACAGGCCACCAGTGCCTGCAGCATCGACCCGCGCCGCGGAAACGTAGTCATAATATTTGTGCACTTGATCATCGGGCATAGGATAGTAGTCATAGTCGTCCGAGTACTCGCCGCGGTCGTCCGCAGAAACGTTGGAGCTGCGGAGGGAGCCGGAGGGGCCAAGCCTTGTGGCTTGATCTACGCCTTCATTGCGAGTCTCGTCAGCATGTTCATCCATGTCAGCATCGTAGTGATAGCGCTCATGATAATTGCCGCTGTAGGTCGCATTGGTTGTGGAATGGAGTTCATCTTGACGAGAGTCTCGCCGGGGTGATGGCGCTCGCGCCGACGAATGGCTTCCATAGGCACTGATGATCGATGCATTAGTCTCCCGCCGTGTGCGCGCTTGCTCCCTCTCGGCCTGGATCCTGTCCTCCTCGTCCGCCATTTGCAGCATCGCCAGCCCCGCCGCGGCTTCCGCATCACTATCGTCGCTATACGCATCATAGTTAACATACTGGCCTGTACCCGTCGCCAATGTGCCGTTTGTGTGCGTGTGCCTCTCGTCAGGAGACAAGCGCACACTCGAGGTGGCAGTGACGGGAGGACTAGGGCCATATTCTTCGTGACGTGAGGTCTGAGCGTCAACATGCAGTGGCCTAGTGTCATAGCGTCTCTCCCGACTCATACGGCCATCTATCACAGCCGCTTCCACTTCCCTCATCAGATCCTCATAACCTACCGGTTGGTCCGACCGGGGATCTCGGCCACCGACCCCATTGAGATCATCGAGCGGAGATGAATCGCTGTCCGCGTCGACTGGTGGACCGGGCAAGGGCCGCGACTGGGGATGCCGAGTCAAGGTATCTGTCCGGCGCGGAGAGGTCTGCGGTTGCGCATGTTGGATTGGAGGCGTAGGCAGTGACCGCCCCGACCCGCGACGGCTGAAGCTCAGTCGTTTACCGTATACGTCTTCCGCAGGTGTCGAGTGCGCAGGTGGTTCTGGAGGGAGCTCGTCAGGATAAGGCGCCATAGCTGCATCCGAGTGGTGGGGCGATTGCGCGGTATAGAGGGGAACCTGTGAGCTGTGGGCGTGGGAGCGCGTGAAGGTTGATGCAATCGTTGTTGAGGTCAATGAGCTTGTGGAAGGATAAGGTGCGGTAGGGCTCATCGGTGGGGCGACATTGTAGGCTAGAGATGCAGATGACTGAGTAGAAAAGCCATATTGGGTTGCTGGCGAGTCAGTTCGATACGGGGCGGATGCGCGACTTCCGTAGGGATGATCTGGTCCTCGAGGTGGAGGCGGGGGTGGCAGGGATTGCTGAGAAGAATATGCCTGCGATGTTTGCGGAGGCTGTGCGTACAAACTGGCTATACTCGGCTGTCGTTGGACAGTTGGGGACCCGTATCCAGCGAGACTGGCCGACTGATACGCCGCTGGATTGTACGGCTGGTGAGCAGCAGTCGCACCAGCGGTGTAAGCATTGCTGCTGGAGCCGTTATATGCGAGGGGATTGTAACCTAGCTGCTGTTGCGACGGAGTAGGTGGGAGGGCATATTGCTGAGGATTATAGGCCGACTGCGTCGGAGAGGCGATAGACGAGTACTGGTAGGAATAGTTAGACTGAGATGAAGCTCTGTCTCGCGTTACGTGCGGCGACCCGCCGGAGGGGATATGCGCGTATCGCGGTCCTGAGATATCGTCGTATCCGCTGTTCGCCAGGCTATAGGACCCTTGTCCGTCCTCGGTGCCATAATTACTGGCTTGCCCGGTATATCGCGTGGACCCGTTGGCAGTTCGGGCGTGTTGAGCACCGGAACCTCCACCGAACAGACCCGCGTCATCCCCAACGTTATAGCTGGGCATCCGCCGTAATTGAGAATTTGCGCTCTGTTGTTGTGCATTGTAGTGGTCATAGCGACTGGACGAGGGAGGTTGCGTGGACGAGGAGGTAGGGTTGTTGGACTGGCCGTAATAGGGCGTTTGGCCATTCTGATAGTGAGCCATTGTCGCTAAGAAAGTCCACGGCTAGTGAAGCCAGAGGACTCGCAAAACACGCGACCGAGGGACTTATGGCGACGATGGGGAGGGCTCCAAACCCGCCCTATGGAGTCTCTCGGACTCCCTTAGTGTTCGAGAGGGTGCTGCGGTGAATGCAGCGCAAGTCGACTGCCGCGGTACGACGGAGACAAAGACAGTCGAACTCGATCAAATTAAAACGACAAAGTAGAAAAGGGAAATATCCGACATGGATTAAATTCTCAGGATCAACCCGATGTGTTTGGAAGGGTGAAAAGAAGCCTTGGTGTGAGATTATTTGAGGCTCAGGTGGGTGGACCGATCGTCACGTATCCCTTTAAGCCTTGGGCCTTTAAGGCAAACAGCCCACAGCGGGAGCAATCCAGTGGAACTCGAAGGGGCTCGTGGTTAAGTTCAGTTCGAAAAGCTAACAGCGAACGGCTAAGGGCAATAATAATAATAGCGACTGTGATTCTCCACACGTGTGTGTGCTCTCATGCTTTGTCATGTCCCAAGGAACCGCGGAGCCACGTGAGCTGCGGGGAAACAATGGACTACCTGTTGTGTTCTTAGAATCAACAAGACATACAGGATACTCAATAGTAGTATGATTATCCTCGATATGAAGATAACAAGAGAAAAAAGAACTCGATATGAAAAAGTTGGAAAGGACATACCAAAGCTGCAAAAAGGCCGACAGATCCTCATTCAGCTCCTACGCCCGTAGCACAGCCAACACAGAATCATTGGTGAAATCAGCCACAATTGACTCGTTGACTCAGACAAGTCCATTATTGTACCAATCATCAATGACGCCGTATTATTAGCTCCGTTTCGAAGGTTCAAACTGCTCCGTCAACGGGGAAACTAGAGTTGAAAACATATAACTTCTGCATCACGCCAATATCCTAGTCTACATCGTGGTTCAAGTTACACCTCGTCAGAGGAACATTACCTTATGTATAGGTAGTCCTTCTGGTAGGCGAATTATAACAATATGTGCCTGTTACCCTCGTGCTCGTAATCTCATGTACGCAGCTAATTCAATGGATTCGAAACCATGCAATCGACCCTCGGGAAGCTGATCCGAAATTGCATTGGGAGAAAACAGTGCCGAGATTCAACAGCTAGGTATATAAGCGTCCGTAAATAATACATCATGGAGAGCAAAGCATTCAGGGTCGAAGCAGGCATCACAATCGCAAACTGGAAAATAAAACAACAGGATCGCGGAAAACTTGCGCATCGAATCGAAATATAACAGCATAAAAAAGCCAAGCATTAGTCGATATATTGCGAAGATACAACTTTTATAGCACTGTCTCTTAAGGTGGGAAGCGCTTTATTTCCCATCATATATTTGATCGGGTGTGAGTGTAAATTCTCCTTTCGGCAGGTGCTCCGGTTCAACGTGGTCTGGTTTTATATAACGAGCGGTCAGAGCGAAGCGTAGCTTCTTGTCTGGAGTCACCGCATGCTATCGAAGCGTCAGCATCATTTCCTTGATAATGCGGGGCTTTTGGAATGCCTCTACCTCGTAGTATGTCTGAAGGTTCTCGCCGTGCATGACTACCAAGTCTCCATGGTTCAGCTCCATCTTGATTTCTACGGGAGCCTCCCCGCATTTGCCCTTCTGCAAGGCCTTGCGCCGTAGATTGTTGTATGTTATTTGGTCAATCTCACCGTTGGCCAGTTGACTCTTCAGGCTCCGTCTTTCGGCTTCCATTTTACAACCCGCCAATACGGGGTCATCTTTCAACAGTGTCTTGGCTTTCGACAAGCCGTTGTAGTACTTGTACTTCATTCGAATTGACATGACCGACTTGGCGCCCAGGGAAAGCGTGGCAATAGTTGGTCCGAGCGACGACTCCCCATCGTCATGATACTTGTGTGGCATCAGCAATCCGCTAGGCACAAACACGGCATTCAACATACCCCGATCTTCATGTCTTCAAAATACCCGAGCATGAGTAGCTCATTTGGCGGAAGGAAGGTGTCGCCACTGCCTGCTACAGCTCGCTCAGTCGCCCAGGTCAAACGACCTAAGGCCTGCTGGATCTCGTCTGGAGCATCAGTGAACGGCCTGGAGTCCACTGAAACGATATATTTGTATGGCATCCCCTTTGAGAAAGTTCAGCCTCGTGAGATGACACAGTACGGCGCGGGCAACTCACATAATTCACAGCAAAGTGTGCGGTGAGGGTTCCAGCAACTGAAGATTTGTGGGTCAGAAGAACAAGGATAGTCTTAGAGAGAAGGTTTGCTCTCTTACCAACACTCTGTTGTAATGGATAACGCCGCAGCCCGAAGTCAGCAACCTGCAGCTGTCGAAATAGATCGTTGGGCCCGTTAGGACGACTATTGATTGTTCGGTTGGCGACAAAGTGAGTAATGCTGCCTACGCCTGGAATTCGGTATGTCAGTTTTCTGTACGGAAACAGTGTCTCATCATCAATCTCTGGTACGGCGAATCTGGGGTCAAAATGACAAGCGCGTTTATTCGGCCCAAGGCCAAAGTCATCAATAACAGATCGTAGAGAAACCGGCTGCACGGTCAGCATTTTCTTGAATGTGCAGCTTGTCTCGCCTTTCCGCATGATTGGACTGAGCTCATCTGTGCATTTCCAACCGTGCCAATATCTTCTGGATATGCACTTTTGGCAAAGTGGGCAGACAATGCCCTTCCACGCAATTCGAGAATAGCTGACGCCTTCCCCATCTTCTTCTAACGTTTGTAGCAGGTTGGGTACCAGGTCGTGATGTGGCACAGCTTCAGGAGCAGGAGCAGTTCGAGCTTGAATGAAGTTGCGATGGAACGTAAAGTCCAAAGGGGATTCGAAGGCAATGATTGTCCAGAAGCTGTCGCAGGTGGGTTGCAGGCACATCCAGCCTTCATTGTATATACGTGGGCTGGCTGTATGGCAAGCGGCGCAATCGTTGATCTCAGCCTGAATCTCAGGGCGCTGGTGATATGGAACAGGAGCGGCAGAGGCTTTGCCTGCCCACCAGCTCTTTGTAGAGAGGTTCAGCTTCTCAAAGCGAACTTTGGCTCCCACCTTGCCTCCGATCCTCTCGTACCATACGTCAGTAACCCGAAAATAATCCATTACGTTGTATCGGTGTGGTAGCTTTCTTCCGAGAAGTATGTTCCGGTCTCCTAATCGTCAAATCAGAGGAAGGGTTACTCTGGCTGCAAGAAAGAAGATTCACCTATGATAAGGCCCACAGGAACCTTCAGATTCATACTGTTAACGAGACTACTGACAGCACTATCATCGCTGCCTTGATCTCTAACGAGGATGAGGTTGCCCTCTGCGTCCTTAGTGCAACCGCCTCCGCTAGTACCGTTAGAAACGACACGTAGGAATGCCCTAGAATCATGATTGCACTTACACCCTTGTAATTACCACCTCTTCATCGATGTATGATCGAATACCACAGTCAGCGTCCAGCAAGAACCCCCAGCACAGGTGGTCACAGTGGTAAGAACCACCTTGAACTGCACGGAACCAGGGAAGAGCATCACATAGCTCTGGGCGGCACTTGAAGACCGGGTCAGCCAATGTTACAATGGGCTCGGTGATTACAAACCTCAGCCCATGCGGGAGGCTGGCCATCGACTGGTTCCGTAGCTGGTTCCGTAGCATCATTTGCAGTCACGACTTGCGGGGCGACACTGATAGGTGAGACTTGTAAAGGTCAGATATACATGTGAAAGATCTCGAGGACACTGAGAACAGCGAGCAGGATTTTGGACGAACTCGACTCGTTACCTGTGGGGCGAACTTTTCGTATGCGACCCGCCTTCACAGACTTGGGCTTTGGTGCCGAAGCTCTCGCCGGCCTGCTTGGGCTCATACTGTATTGGCTTGTCAAAAGTAGGATGCTTTAGTGTGAGACGGAATGGATCTGGCTTCTATAAGAGGAACTGCATGTAGAATTGCGTCGTTCACTCCCAGCTTCTAATGACTCTAGTAGCGATTGTGGGTAGATTGACGTCGTAAATATGTATTCCAGACTGCAAACCTGAACTGTCTGTGGATCTCCGAACTTCAACTAGAATCGAGTATTCCAGAGATAGGCACAAGGAGGATAGGGAATTTTAAGCAAGTATATAGGAGATAGTAGCCGGTCAGGCCCAGCTCGCAATTGAGAAGTCACGGGACCGAGACGAGAAGCTGGTAGGTATCAATAGAGCGAAACAAAACGCATCCTTAAGTCTGTCAAGCGTATACAATTGATACTCCCTTCATTGAATTTGATAAAATCTGCTAAGCTGCGGCGTGAGGGATAAGAAGATGAGAGAGGAAGACAGAGCTGTTCTCTTCCTTGGGATATTGATCACTGACAGTCACGAGACTGGCGCCTTACCCTGAAGGGAAAGAGGCAGGAGGATGGCAATTGAAGTTTACACAGTCTTTAAATCACAGGAAGATTAGCAACCGTGAGAGAATTACCTCAGAGATGTGATAGAAATGTAAAAGATGCAGCTATATCTGAGATCTAATTGACTTTTTGGATATAGCTATGATAAGGTGGTGCTAAGGATCTGATCGAGATAGGTATAATCGAGACTGAACAGGCCGAATTAAAGGACTCTTTCGATGAGTTTAGGAAGGAATGAGGAAGAAGGAGGGCTTTATTGCAAGTAAGAGGTAGCAATCTCTATAGAAATCATGTTTCTGTGAAAACTCTTTAATTATAGTTCCCTGGAGCTATCATGGTCACAGTTCTTGTCATAGACCACGATGGATTGCTTACCACGGATATATTACCTACTAAGGCACAACTCTGGGCTCAGGAACCACTGAAATAGGTCGCGGCGAGAGAGGACAACTTAATGCCAATCTCTAGGTACGATCAAAAAGAGAGGTAGTCATTGAAGCCCATCCAATGACTCCATGCCGACAGAGCATATGACATGCCTCGACAATAAGCTATATACCGCCGATTAACGGCAGGGTTGATGTGGGATTCTTAGCAGTTGGAGGAAGATATTTTGCAACCATGAGCTTGATTTATTCTGAAGTCATGACCTGTGCAATGGCAAAAGCCAATACTAGTGCTTCTTTTGTGGAAAAAAAAAAAGTAAAAGACACGAATGCATCATGTTCATATACTACGAGTTCATAACTGCAGTTGTTAAGCACCTCCCCAGTGGATCTGTAGATCTGTGAGCTAAACTGTACCTGTGCTGGTTGGTACTAGTTAGTACTAGTTAAAAATGTGGTTACTGTGGACCATTCAAGCCGCTACTGCAATTCCGAGAGGCCAAGTTGGAGACTCCTCTGTCCAGATTTTGGAGATTTCCCTCGGCTGTTCTTCGTCCGCAGACTGCGCAGACAAGCTCCTGTGGGATTGGGATCCCTGTATGCCGATAGAAAACTGGTCATATCTGCATAATATATATCCCAAACAATAAATGTAAACCATTAACCTTGGTAATTGAATAGGATCATCAACCTCGTGTTCATGTCCATATCTTCGGCAAGGTAACACGGGGCGAGCCCGGTTGAACCGAAGACACCGAACTAGTAAAAGCACCATAGAAGCTTTCCCCGCAGCCGGTGTCAACTACTTAAGAATCAAGACCTCCCCAACTGCCCAGTTACGTCCGAAGCTGCTGACTCGCTGAGTAGACTAATCAGTAATCAGTATAACTAATTATCATTACCGAGGACTCTGCTGCAGTCATCAATTCTCTTTTGTTTTTCCTCAGCTTCTCTCCCTCCTCCGACCTCTCCCGTCACGTAGGTTACTGACGCAGTAACCATGGTCTTTCTCCCACCAGCCACGGCGGGCGAGCTGGCCCCAATACCCGACAACATTCCCATCAGCGAATTTATGCTGAATGAGAAATATGGTCGTCACCCTGCTGGCCAGTCGAGAGATCCGTACACCTGCGGACTCACGGGGAAAACCTACTCCGTTCCCCAGGTTGCTGAACGTGTCGACCTTCTGGCGCGGGCGCTTGCCAAAGAGTTCAACTGGGCACCGAACAGCGGTACCGAATGGGACAAGTCTCTGGCAATTTTCAGCTTGAACACCGTAAGTCATTTGATCCTAGATCGCTCAGAGATTGCCAATGTTATTCAAGGATTCCTGACTGTTTTAGGTTGACACGCTGCCCTTATCCTGGGCAGTCCACCAGCTTGGTGGTGTCGTGTCACCGGCAAATGCGGCATATTCGGCGGCCGAGTTAAAGCATCAGCTGCTTGACTCCAAGGCAAAGGCGTTGTTTACATGCGCTCCTTTGCTTGCTACATCTCTGGAAGCCGCCGCAATGATCGGCTTCCCGAAGGATCGGATTTATCTGCTGGAAGTACCGCCCCAGGCGGGCGGTGGAAAGGAAGCTGGATCTGGCTTCAAGACCGTGTCTCAATTGATAGAGATCGGGAAATCGCTCCCCAAAGTGGAAAGGGTGAATTGGAGCGCAGGTGAAGGCGCTCGTAGAACAGCTTTCCTGTGTTACTCCAGTGGAACGTCGGGTCTGCCTGTAAGTAATCAAAATCGCACTGTACCACCCGACTACGCTGACATTTATTTCGTTTTAGAAAGGAGTCATGATCTCTCATCGCAATGTCATCGCGAATACCTTGCAAATTACAGCGTCCGAGAAAACATGGCGCGACTCCGTTACTCCAACTGGCGAACCGAGATACACCGATGTCGCACTCGGTCTTCTGCCCTACAGTCACATTTATGCGCTGGTGGTCATTTGCCATGCCGGGCCTTTCAGAGGCGATCAAGTCATTGTCTTACCGAAATTCGAGCTCAAATCGTATCTCTCTGCAATTCAACAGTTCAAGATCAGGTCCCTCTTCTTGGTAAGTGGTACCAATTCGTAGAGCGAAGATACCATAGACCAAATGCTGACCGAGTATACCTTCTCCAAGGTTCCTCCAATCATTATTACCATGCTGCGAAACCAGGACGTTTGCTCCAAGTTCGACTTGAGCTCGGTCACATCGTTATTCACAGGCGCAGCACCATTAGGAATGGAGACGGCGGCAGATTTCAAGAAGATCTATCCGGAAATCATAGTTCGTCAGGGCTACGGTAAGCATTGACTCGAATCAAAGCGCAAGACATTCCGAATGGACGAACTCTAACCTTGATAACGAAGGTCTCACGGAGACGTCGACTGTCGTTTGCTCAACCCATCCCACGGACGTATTCCTCGGCTCATCCGGCACCTTGCTGCCTGGCGTTGAGGCACGCATCATGACCCCTGAGGGCAAGGAGGTAACCAGCTACGACACACCCGGTGAACTCGTCGTTCGCAGCCCAAGTGTGGTTTTGGGTTACTTGAACAATGAGAAAGCTACCAAGGAAACATTCGAGGACGGATGGATGCGCACCGGTGATGAAGCTGTCGTTCGGGTGAGCCCGAAGGGTACGGAACATATCTTCATCGTCGATCGAATCAAGGAGTTGATCAAGGTCAAGGTCTGTTAACCCCGAAGATGTATATCTCCGCTAGCACTCAGTTTCGATTGACTAATACATCGTAGGGCCTACAAGTCGCTCCAGCGGAGCTAGAGGCTCATCTGCTCACCCACCCAGCAGTCGCAGACTGCGCCGTGATCGCTATTCCGGACGAGGCCGCTGGTGAAGTGCCCAAGGCCATCGTGGTCAAGTCTGCCTCCGCTGGCAATGACGATGAAGCTATTATCCAATCTATCAAGAAGCATGTGGAGCTCCACAAAGCTAGACACAAATGGCTCAAGGGAGGAGTCCGCTTCATCGATGTTATTCCCAAGAGCCCGAGCGGCAAGATTCTGCGCCGAATGCTCCGTGACCAGGAGAAGGAGTTGCGGAGAAAGGCTGGGGCCAAGTTATAAACCATTCAACTAGATTCTGATGTCCTGTAGATAATTCCCGAAATATAGCATGCATATTTTCGTCTATGATATAAATACACAGAGCAGAGTGGTCAATACAATAGATACGATTCTTCAGTCTGGCCTACAAAAACAGCGAATAGGATGTTTGCATTGTTTGACAGGGGCGCGGGGAGAAAATGAATTTCTAAGCGGGGTGTTGACTTATCGGACAGATACTGATTGATCAGCAAGGAAAAAAACATTCGAAGCTCTTCTGTATAGGGTTTGGAGGATCTTGTGCAGTGTATCGTGACAATAAGAGAGGCGAAAAGAACTCCCGGATCAGCAACATTGTCAGAGAGCATTCTCTTCGACGTTCCGCCCTCTTCGGTCCCATTTTCTTTTACTCTTTCACGCCCTCATCAACGCCCAAAATGTCCTCTTCACAAGACCCCCACCGTGAGGCAGACCAAGATGCCTACATCGAGGCTGATGAGGCGGAAGAGATCTTCACTCGCGATGAAGACCACCCTATGGAGTCGGATCCCGAGGATGACGACCAAGCCATGACATACGAGGACCAAGAAATTACACTGCAAAACGACTCTTCAGCTCACTTCGACGTCCACTCAGACTCCGTATTCTGTGTCGCGCAACACCCCGTTCACAACAATATCGTTATCACCGGGTCTGGCGACGATACCGCGTACATCTTTGACTCGACACCGCGAGACGAGCGCCCCGTACTCCCCCAGAGCTACGAGTCGAATCCGCAACCAAAGGGTGAACGGACGTCGCTGACGCCCATTGCCAAACTGGATGGACACACGGATACCGTCAATGCAGTCGCCTTCACAGAACCGAAGGGAGAATACGTCGTGACGGCGGGCTTGGACGGTCGGCTGCGGGCATGGCGCGATAACTCGCCCCAGTTGACGGGACTCTCGTGGGAATTCGCCGCGGAGTCTCAGGAGGTGGAGGAGATCAACTGGGTTTCTGTTTGCCCCTGTCCGAATAACGACGAGGAGAAGCAGAATGTGATCGCTATTGGTGCAAACGACGGTAGCGCCTGGGTCTTCCGTATCAACCACAACGATTCCGCTGAGCCCATCTCCATGATCCAGACCTTCTTCCAGCACACTGCGTCCTGCACGGCTGGTGCGTGGACCCCCGATGGCAATCTGCTCGCCACCGTCTCCGAAGACGGCAGCTTCTATGTATATGATGTCTGGGGCGCCGCGGCGGCCGCTGGTATTTCATATTCCGCCGGTACCAGCGCCGTCGTCGGCCTGACCGCCGAAGATCAGCGCTTCGCTGTGGATGGTGGGTTGTACTCCATCGCGATCTCGCCAGGCGGTGGTATTGCCGCTGTTGGGGGAGCCGAGGGCCACATCAAGGTCGTCGGTTTGCCTCGCCTTGTGTCTGCCGGTGGCGCCGCTAGGTTCAAAGCGAAGGGCCCTGCCAACCAAGCCGCAAGTGGTGCCTCCGCTGCCGGTACGATCATGGCCTCTCTGCAGGCTCAAAGTGATGGCATCGAAACGCTGTCGTTCTCCTCTCCGCCCTTGACCCTTCTCGCCGCTGGCTCGGTCGACGGCTCAATCGCCCTGTTCGACGCTGCGCACCGGTTCGCTGTACGTCGGCATATTAAGGAAGCCCACGAGGGCGCCGCGGTCGTCAAGGTTGAGTTCCTCCAGACTAACCTGGCCGCTCTCGCGAGTCGCCCCGCTGCTGCCGCTACCCAGGGACGCCCGTGGCTTCTCACCTCCGCCGGCATGGACGGTGTCGTCAGACGTTGGGATGCTCGGGGCGGAACTGCAGCTGCGGCGGAGGGGTTGTTGAAGGAGTGGAAGGGTCATTTGGGTCTCGTGGAGAATGAAGAGGGGGAGCAGTCGGGAGGCATTATGGGCTTTGTTCAAGGGTTTGATGGGAAGCGGGTCGTCACCGCTGGTGACGATGGTGTTGCTTTGGTTTTTGAGGAATAATTGGCCTGCAGTAGTAGAATACCTCGGACCATTCTTTATATGTATAGACAGGAGAGGCAGCAGTTCATGACCTGAAAAGTTAATGCATTTGACGACTCTAATGCTTCATCAAAGACAATTCATATTCCTTGTTCGCATATCCGCATATTGTGCTGAAGAAAAGACAACCCTACGACCAGCATAGACCAGTAGATAGAAGAAAGACCAGCAATTTTGGTGTAACAGAACAAACAGGATATGTACATCGGTCAAATCAATCATCCCAAGCGCCATCTCTAAGAGCGAGAGCCTCGTCATCCAACCCCCGGCAGTGGCAGTGCAGCCTTTCTTGCCAGCTCGTATCAAAAGCGTACAGCCAGCCCCACGGCAATGAAGACATTCCTCCCATGATCTTTGCAACCGCGTCCATCCTTAACCGGGGGTATCCGTGCTTCTGCCTCGACTTCCATGCATCCCACACCGGGCCCATCCCCCATCTCATTCCCGGAAAGCACGCTTAGTGGTGTCCCTCACCGTGGTGGTGCTCGTCCTTGAGGAAGAAGTGCTCGTATGCGCAGTAACCGGCGAAGGCGACGCTAGCGATACCGAAGCCGGGGAAGATACGCTTGAAGCGGTTGAATCGGCTGAAGGGGCCGGTGTATCTCCATGCTTCACTGTGGAGGGTTAGTAAGTAGTCAATTGGGTAGTGGGTTTATCGGATCGTACTATCGGGCCCAAGGATCTCTCTTGGCGTAGACCGAGCGAGGGGAGGCCGCGGCCTTGAATTCGTTGACGTCGAAGCCGGTGGGGTTGGCCATGTTGGGTGATGAGGATGGGAGGAATGAATGCGGATTCGGCGGGTAGAAAGGAGACGGAGGCAAGAGTGTGGCTCCGAAGTTCCGGAGGTTCGCGAGAACAGGTGAGAGCAAGGTAATTCTGGATCAATCTCCACCAGCGAGGAACGGGAGAAGTTGAAGCTGTACAGGACGAGAGGAACAGGGCTTGGCACTCGGGCAGTTGCACTAAACCGGATTCGGCGACGAGAGCTTGTCCGCCTTTGTGGTCTTGCAGCAGCGAGGGAATCTCCAGCGCGAAACTGGAATCCCATCGATTCCAACTCACTCTGGTTATCAGATGCCTGGCTACAACCCCGCGCTGCACACGACAATATGCCACCTCCTGTCGGCAGATACGGGCCTTCTGGCCTGAGCGGTCCCTATACACATTTACAACAAGCGCATCTCCAACAACAGCAGCAGCAACAGCAGCAAGCTCAACATCATCCGGCCCACCCCCAGTCGGCCAACACGGCGCTCCCTCCTCCCTCGCTTGGCGGCCACCCTGGTTTTGCGGCCGGCAACCCCAACACTAATATCAATCCTTTTACATTATCAGGGACAGGGATTGCGAACGGCTTGTCTGTCGCCGGGTTTACGGGGGCTGGTGATGGAGGGGGCTCTGGCTTGGCGAGCCATGCAGCCCAGATCGGCTTCGCGAGAGGGGCACAGATGCAGCAACAGCAATTACTTCAGACTCACGATGGCCGGTTAGCTCTCGAGACGAAAGCAGGCGCCGTGAAGACTCGGATACGGGATGTATGGAAACACAATCTGGCCCAGGAGATGGCCGTGTTACGGCAGCTGGTCGAGAAGTACCCTTATATTAGCATGGTATGGTTGCATTGAGATGACGATCCCGGGTTTGATTATGGATCAAAAGTACTGATGCCTCGCATAGGATACGGAGTTCCCTGGCATTGTCGCTCGTCCCATCGGATCATTTACGAATAAAGCCGATTATCACTACCAGACCCTTCGATGCAACGTTGACCTCTTGAAAATGATCCAACTCGGCATCACCTTGTTCTCGGCCGACGGGGAAGTCCCTCCGCCCAATGCTACGGATGCAAATGGACAGCCATTGGGAAACAGCCTGGTACCCGCCCCTTGCACATGGCAGTTCAACTTCCGCTTTTCACTAGAGAACGACATGTATGCGCAGGAATCAACAGCCATGCTCGCCAAGGCGGGTATTGACTTTAATATGCACGAAAAGAACGGTATCGATCCTTTTGAGTTTGGAGCCCTTCTGATCAGTTCCGGACTCGTCCTACTCGACGATGTACATTGGGTTTCGTTCCATTCCGGCTACGATTTTGGCTACCTGATGAAGATCATGTTGTGTAAACCTCTGCCAGAAAACGAGGAGGATTTCCACACCCTTCTGAAGATTTTCTTCCCGTCGCTATATGACATCAAATACCTGATGAAACACGCGGGACGCAATCAGGCTGTCAACGATTCGCCGCTGACTCCAGCCGCCGCGCAGATCTTGACGAGCCTGGGCCAAAAGTCCGGTCTTCAGGATATTGCAGACGAGCTCGGTGTGAAACGGGTCGGCATTGCGCATCAGGCAGGGTCTGACTCACTCGTCACGGGCGAGATCTACTGGAAGATGCGTCAGCTGATCTTCAATGGCAAAATCGATGAGGCTAAGTACTCGGGGCAGATCTGGGGTCTCAACGGCCAGATGCCAGCACTGACATATCACATGCAACCTCATCAAACACCGAATCTCAACGGAGCCACTATCTACTCGGCAGCCGGGACACCGAGCACACCCAATACCGGTCGTCAAACTCCTCAACATCACGGTGGCAATCTAGGTGGTGCACTAACCCCTGGTGGTCCAGGCGGAGTCATGGGGCGTTTCAAACAGGGAAGGCATGAGCGTTGTTTCATCGGGTCCATACTTTGCTTCTCTTGTTGTAAGGTGTTAGATCAGGGGTACGGTTCGGAGGGAGTTTATGACATGCTTTTGCATTTGGCTTCTCCTTGGGCCTCGTTTGTCCTGTATAGGCTTCTTCCTGTTGTCTCGTGTCGTTCGGACTATGCTTTGGGTGCGTTGACCGGCGTCCACCTTTCCTCTTCCCCTTTCCTCATGGTTCATCGCAGTATGTGATGGCTTTTGCTCTACTGGTGGGACATGGATTTGATACGATATGATGGATGTACATAGCTTTGTGGCACAGCTTGTGCTATCTCATTGTTATTTCTTTTTGCATTTTCCTCCGCTATTCGACTGTTTCGGTTCATCATGAGGGTCTATGGCTTTCGTGCCTTTAGTCTGCATTGGCTATATTCGCGGACGGTGTATTCGGTGTTTTGGTGGCGCAAATGAATCCTTTTAGCTGCAGTGTCCTTGTCCCATTTGTTCCGAAACGCTCTAGGTCCACGATCATGATTCCGGGGACAGTTCGAGCTAAAATTCCTGTCCTCAATTGAGGCACAATTGCGAGGTGGCACACGAAGTTCGGCGTGAGCTTGGCTCTACAGACTGTACCTTATCCGAAGCAAGGCTCCAGGATCTCCGGGAGGCAATTGGTATGCAATTTCTCACCGTATCCACGATAGTTGAGAAACACTATTAGCAAATGCATCCGTATGATCCAGCGATGAGATACCCCGCTCTCTGAACGGAGCTACACCCTGCAACTTGACTCAAGATGGAAGCACCAACACAAGCATCCCATTACCGCTTTGGGTCGAGCTGCAACACATTGCACGCTATTCCCGATCAGGCAACGCGATCCGGCCCTCTTATCGCACTGATAGCAGCCATCATCTATCCAGTGGTCGAGGATGAGGTGTTGGTGCAATTATGCAGTCATGGTTGCGGTTTATATTTCGCTTTTTCCCCTGCTGGGGAGGATCTTTGATCTAAATGCTTCAGTCGGGCGTCTTTGAAACAGCCATATCTTATCTGAGGATTGACAATTACCATACTCTTTTGTTTTCTTACTAAATATCCTCGTCGACATATAGTATGGTTCTGGAGCGCCTACAGCAGCTGACCTACCAGGTCGGCGCCTCTTCACCTCCACCTCATCCCTTTGACCCCCTGTCAACAAAGGAAATCGACACGGCAGTCGCCATCATCCGCAAGGAACATGGCAAGGTCAATTTCAACGCGGTCACACTGTATGAGCCGCGGAAGGCGGAGATGATGGCCTGGCTCGCAGATCCCAAGAATACGCCTCGTCCTGCGCGTGCTGCCGATGTCGTTGTAATCGCGCCTGGCGGTAAGGCCTATGATGGCATTGTCGATCTGGACCAGAAGAAGATCGTCTCGTGGAAGCATACGCCGGGTGTGCAGCCGCTTATCACGATGGAGGATTTGCAGGAGGTTGAGCATATTGTTCGGAAGGATCCCAAGGTAATCGAGCAGTGTGAGATTCTTGGGATTCCAAAGGAGGATATGCACAAGGTTTACTGCGATCGTGAGTCACAATTCCGTGATTTAACTTGCTGATTCAGTGGTTCTGATTCCGGTATAGCTTGGACGATTGGCTACGATGAGCGCTTTGGGAGTGATGTCCGTCTGCAGCAGGCGCTGATGTACTACCGTCCCCATGTCGATGACTCCCAGTACACATTTCCTCTGGACTTTTGTCCGATCTACAATGCGGAGACCAAGGAGATCATCCACATCGATATCCCACCAGTACGACGACCCATCAGTAGGGCGCCGCCAAACAACTACCACCCAGCCGCAATTGAGCAGGATGGGGGCTACCGGACAGACATTAAGCCAATCCATATCACTCAGCCGGACGGCGTGTCTTTCAAGGTGGATGGACGCACCATCCAGTGGCAGAATTGGAGTATCCACGTTGGCTTCAACTACCGTGAAGGCATTGTGCTCAATAACATCACGTTCAATGACAAAGGAAATGTTCGACCAGTCTTCTACCGTCTCTCCTTGGCGGAAATGGTTGTCCCATACGGTAACCCCGAGCATCCGCATCACCGCAAACACGCATTCGATCTAGGCGAGTACGGCGGTGGATACATGACCAACAGTCTGTCGCTCGGATGTGACTGCAAGGGTGCTATCCACTACATGGACGCTGCCTTTGTCAACCGTGCCGGTGCCAGCACCATTGTCAAGAACGCCATTTGCATTCACGAGGAAGATGCCGGTATCCTTTTCAAGCACACCGACTTCCGGGACGAGTCCATCATCGTCACCCGTGGACGCAAGCTGATCATCTCGCACATTTTCACCGCCGCCAACTACGAGTATTGCGTTTACTGGATCTTCCACCAAGACGGCACCGTTCAGCTTGATATCAAACTAACTGGTATTCTTAACACCTACGCCATGAACCCTGGTGAGGACACCAAAGGCTGGGGTACAGAGGTCTACCCCGGCGTCAACGCCCATAACCACCAGCACTTATTCTGTTTGCGTATCGATCCCAACATTGACGGTACAAACAACACTGTCTTCCAGGTGGATGCAGAACGAGGCCCTGGAGAGGTCGGAAGCGCAGAGAACAAGTACGGCAACGCCTTTTACGCCAAAAAGACCAAATTCACCACACCCGTAGAGGCCATGTCGGATTACAACGGGGCCACCTCTAGAACCTGGGAGATGGCAAACACAAACAAGCTGAACCCCCACAGCAAAAAGCCGGTCTGCTACAAGCTTGTCAGCCGGGAGGTCCCCTCACTGCTTCCCAAGGAGGGTGGGTTGGTCTGGAAGCGCGCCGGCTTTGCCAGACATGCTGTGCACGTCACCAAATGTAAGTATCCCCTTGTGCCCTTGTGCCCTTGTGCCGTCAGCCAAACTAACAGTCTATGCCAGACTCCGATGACCAGGTCCACCCTGCAGGTCGCCATGTCCCGCAGACTTCCGGCGAGCCCTCTGAAGGCCTGCCCGCATGGATTGAATCAGCGGGCCCCAACTGCTCAATTGAGAACACGGATATTGTACTCTGGCACACGTTCGGCCTCACTCACTTTCCGTCTCCGGAAGACTACCCTATCATGCCGGCGGAGCCAATGACGGTGTTGCTCCGCCCTCGGAACTTCTTCGCGCGCAATCCGGCGTTGGATGTCCCTCCTAGCTACGCCAGGACTCCCTCGCAGATAGCCGCGGGAGCAAATGCATGTTCCTGCAAGAAGAGTGACGGGTCCAGCGTCCAGGTCTGATGTATGATTTGTCAAAGGTTATGGTGGTTGAGTTGGTCGTTTGTATTGCAGGGATGTCTGTTTGCCGGCTTTGAGCGTCTTTCGTCCGCCTTTTTTGCACCTGTCTCTTCTTGTATATACCATAATCTGTTACAACCAAGTTCATTAGTTTATGCTCATGCAAGTGCGGCACAAGTTATTGGTTCAATCTTATGACGCAGCCACCCGGTCATGCTATTCACCCACTAGAGATATCTGGCAGACAAGCAGAGTGAATAAACACATCGTCAGATGGGATGTACAGATGAGACTACTGAATGAGATCGTAGGCCATTCACTGCTGGGTATTCACTGCGCCTTGGTCGCAGACTTCACTAGCATAAATATTTCCCAGGTTACCCCTTTTCCCTGTCGCTCGTCTCATGTCCCTTCCATCCTCTGCCTTGCTATATACTTTACGATCATCACATGTTTTGCGAAGACGACTTGGCTACAAAGCTCTGTCATTTGATCTCTATCACCCTTGGCCTTGCAATCCTTCTGGTTTGATTGGATTTCTTGGTTCGTGCAGCATGAACTTGATTCAATTGAGATCTGTCTCCATCATTTGGGAGTGCTACATTCTCATCTCCATCCGTTCACCAGTCTCAATGCATGCAGCTCAATTCGCACGGCCTTAGCGATTGGTCAGCCATCTCGTTACCGCCCGATCTGAAGTCTCAAGCAACTTCTCCACCTCCCTCAAAACAGTGTAGGCGTCTCTCGGGGCCTAAGCGGAGGGCTTACCTTCTCAGGGCATTAACGTTTGAGTAATGCCAACCAGGGAAAGTGATAAATTGGGGACTGCAACGGATATCCAACCAAACAATTGCTAAGACATTCATAACACACTGGAGCCATGATCTAATCAAACTGGCTCTAGAGAACAGGACAAAAAGAGCCAGGATCTGTTCGGGCGACCCAGAATGGAGGTCAGGATCGAGGGCCACGAGAAACATCCTCGGCCTTTAACGAGAAGCAACTCGTCTGGGAATGCACCCTCCGTTGCGAAATCAGGTATGTATTTCCTCGATTTGTAGCAGAGCTCCGGCTGACTTACAATGCTGCAGGACAACTTGCCCGCTACATGGGCGACCTCAGGTTCCTTAACGGAACCTACGGTGATGTGTGGTCTCTCACGACATGGAGTACTGGGCCACGAGCTATATATCCCTTCTGGAAAGGAATGTGCTATGTTGATCGTGCAACTGATTTACATTCTTCATGTTCATGATCCTTTTGGTTTGTTCGAAGACAATAGGTATTTACTCGTTTGTATTGTCGCATGACTAGGGCTAAGATGTCGACAGGTCAAGTCAGTGCAGTCCACCACTATAACTGCCAACACGGATTTATACCAACATATCCGGGATGTTGACTGACGATACCAAAGTATTTTCCCAAAACACAGGTATGTATTCCCATTCTCAAGAGTGCATGCAATGACGCTTAGCCGATATCTAGGTCAACCCATGCGCGTGAGAGGGTAATCAAATATATACAGCAAGCATGCACTTCGAATCTGAGACTATCGAGAACTGATCTAAACCCCGCGGCCTTCTCGCTGGTTCACAATCGATCACCTTAAGCACACTGCGGATCGATCTGATTGCAGAGCACGCTTGTCTTCGAGATGAATGAAACACTTGAGCAAGCCATGGAGACATGCAAGGCTTGACCAACGGACAACTCTCACCAATATTCATAACGATAGTATTCTTGCAGTCAAGAGAAAATGTGAGTCATCCAGCCTGATCCATTGAATCTCTACCTAACCAACAGTTGCAGCATTCGATTAAGCAGACTTCAGCTTATGCCTTGATTCCTGCTCCCCCTTACTTGCGCATCGTACTATGAACGGCTCGAACACATTCCAACCAAGCTAGTACCGGCAGCCACAAGGCAAAGACTATCCCTATACGCTTTATAAAGATTGTGCAAAATGGCGCATAGGCCGTAATGCTCGCGCTGAGCGTTGGTTTGAAGCCTGCGGACCGCCTCGCGATGATCAAAGAGAGATCTCAAGATGAGAGGTCATGGAGAGTAGTCTGGCTGAAAGACTTTCAAAGGACTCAGCAGTCCCTCAACAAGGGCCACATCTAGTAAACCTATTTCCCTCTGCGACCGATTGACAGACTTTGTCTGATGCTTTATGGCAGCTACTATTACGACGCCTGCAGTGAACTTCCCGTGTGTCGCTGCCAACATACGAAGTTCTGTCATGTTGCTCTGCGCAAAGCCAGGGAGGGCTCATTATTACAATAAGACCTGAACCTTACCCTGAGCCCTAGCCTTCGGGTACTGGCTCTAGACGAAGGGATTCGGGCTTCCCAGGGACGGGTAAATCTTTGACTTTGATGGAATCGCAGCTGTTTGGATCTACAGCAGACAGAATGTCGAACTACACGGTCAGCGTCTGTAATGCACCCTTCGCTGCGACGTTTACCGCGAAAGACGCTCCGATGCTCTTCGGCATCGGACTAGGTAGCGCTGCTGCCTTAGCTGTGTTGTTTGTGTTTGTGTAATGCGCATCAATAGACGGTGAGTTCCATCGCCCCTCTGCTGGGCATTCATCTCATCTACACCACACCCATGCTCTTCGCAGCTGACGGGGCATGTGAGACTGCTGATAAGCTGGTGCAGCTAACTCATATGTCTATGGACATCTTGCCTGTTTACAACGGTTTCGGAAGCTAGGGCTTTCCAGGCCCACGGAAGGGAGACAGGAATGCCTGAATAATGGAGATATCATTCGCCTGCGAGCTAACAAGTCTATCTGACGCTTATGACGTTAGTGATTCTACCTCCATATCCACGAAAAGGACACGATTTGTCCTCGCTCAGACAATGGCCGCCGAACGTCATGCAAACTGGGATGAAGGTGGTCTCCTTAGGCCAGACGAGGCAACAGTCTATTCTCCCAGACTTGAACAATTAGTCGGTGTCATTCTATGAAACATTTCAGTCAACATGCGCTAACTGTCACTTGAACTTCTAGTCGTCTGATGGCTTCGCGAGACAGACAATAAATACCCGGAATCCACAACGAGCCAATCCCTCACGTTCCTTCCACCACTATTTCCAGCAGGAACCCGTCATCCCGCTCCTCCTATTCGACTTGATGTTCGTACCTGTCTACACGCTGTCTGGGCTCGCATGAGCGATGACCAGCAGAATCCGTCCCTCAACGCATACCCGGAGCGTCCCACAGCCATCACTTCATCCAGGATCACAACTCCCAAATGATGTTCAAATAGTCGCGGCATATCAGGTGGTGTGGGTAGATGGGTCAGTGTACTATCCCTGTGTGCATGGTGGGGAGGAACATCGACGGCAGTGCATACTGCCTAAGTTTAGGATGCCACAACCTGGGTATGATGAGAATACCCAGAGGGGCCTGTTGTACGAGGGTAGCGGGCACGCATACTGAGTGACTCCGACTCGGGCGTCGACTTATTATCTTCTGGGGAGTACAACACCCAGCTGCAGTCTACTTCGTCGCCAACTTGAGAGAAGGTTACAGACCAACTGCGGAGATACGTGCGAGCCATAGTCTGCTCAGCACTTCTGGTCTCAGACCCAGTACGGCATCGTCACTGCTTGCAGACATGTCCGGTTTAACGATGGGGACGCTGTCAGATCAGCACTTATACACTGCGCAGAAGGGCAGCTTCCATATCAAATGGACCAAGAGCAGAGGGGTCGAGTTCGCCATCCCAGCGAGGCCGCAGTGAGTATCTGGTCTGAGTGCAAATGACACGGACCTCACCTGACTGCCCGATGGTCATTAAAACACGAATATCTGCTGGCTCAACCAACGATAGACTGCATGAGACCGGTCGCAGTTCGCAGACTGCGTTCCTAATCCACATTGTCGCCTGTGTCGCCCACTACGGTACCCATGTCCCGACTGCCAGTCACATCTTCACACTTAACAGCATTATGGCACTGAGTCTTCTTGATGATCAGCGAAACTTGGGCTCAAATCCTTCTGCTAATGCTGAAGGTCGTTCAATCTCTGAAATCCACTTGGTGCAGTTGATCAGCAGTTAATCACTTGTCCAGTTCGTCCAGTTCGTCCAGTTCGTCCAGTTCGTCCAGTTCGTCCAGTTCGTCCAGTTCGTCCAGTTCGTCCAGTTCCTCCAGTTCGTCCAGTTCGTCCAGCTCGTCCAGTCGTCCACTTGGTGCAGTCAATCACTTTGTCCAGCTTGTCTAACTCGTCCCATTCCAGAACCAACCAACGAGGAATCAGCAGGACCCAGTGACCGGGTGCTAGTCCAGTTACTTACCATCTGTATGATGTCAAATTGCCATTCTTCGCCAACTTCCTATAATGACAAGGAAGTGTTAGCTGAACACGCCGGAACTGCGTCAAACGAAGATATCTTACTGTACCAAGAAATGACTGGCTCACTGACATGGCTTATGCTTGGGACCCGCCCAGACATCGCGTACGCCGTATCAAAGCTTGCTAGATTTGCAAGGAATCCAGCTCCTGATCATTTTGTCGCGGTCAAGCGTATATTTCGCTATGTTTGGGGGACATCCTGCGTATCATCCGTATACGCAGTATACACAGTCAATCATCATCTTGAGAATCTTCGAAGGGAGATGGCGTAATTGATTAGCATACAAAACAGACTCCAGATTTCTAAGGCAGTTGAACTTACCAGGAAGAAGTTTCCGCGGCGGCGGGCCCCCGCCAGCTTCTCCCACTGTCTCAGTGAGTCTTCCTTTCTTATCTCTGGCGTGTCGCCGTTGTGTCTGCCGTGCTAACCAGGTAAGTCTTCCTCTGAGGAGGACCCGATTGCCCCTGTTCCGCGCCGTCGCCGCGTGGCCGTGTCCGAGCTGTCCTCCTCTGAGGACGAGGGCCCCGCGCTGGGGTCTCTTAACAGCCTCCCATTTGCCACCATGTCGCGTGCGACCAGTCCGTCCGCTGCCGCCAGTTCGCCCGATGCTGCCAGTTTGCCTGATGCCGCCAGCCCGCGTCCCGCCAGCTCGCCCGGGGCGAGCCTCCTGCGTGCCGGCGGCTCGCTCAGTCCTGCGCCGCCCCTCGGGACTCTTCTTCCGCTGTCTTCCCCGCCTGTCGGCGCCGAGCCCGTGCCCTCTGCCCCTTGCCAGACGTGCCTGAAGGACGCCCTCCGCCAGGGCCAGGTGTGCGCCTGCTTGCGGGACGCTGCCTACCGCAAGTGCAAACGTTGCCAGCGGCTCAAGAAGAAGTGCCTCCGGGTCCCGCTGCAGGTTCGCCGTCGGGCCGCCACTTGAGCCGCGACGGCACCTGCGCACCGGGACTCGGAGGGTGTTGAGGGTTTTATCGCCGAGTTAGAAGCATATTCCAGCACATGAGTCCAGTTATCAGACGGAGACGTCCCTTGTTGTTCGATTGGTTCGCGTGAACCATCTGTCTTGAGAAGTTATGACAATCAATCAACCCGTCTGGTACCTACCAGGGAAACGATGGGGTCGCGGTTGGAGGGAGAAAGCTTTCGTTTTAGAAAAGTTTACCGGTCTACACGCCGTGCGTGGAAAACGACATAAGACTCGCTATTCACGGGCGCGAGGTATGGGTCTGGTGTGTCTTTGTATCCCGTAGACACGTCAAAGTGCCACTTTGCACCAAGTCCCGTTCTCACGTTTCACCGGGGCGAGAAAACGATCGAACCGGGCAGTTGTGCATATCCCTCGTGCACTCGGAAAGTGAGAGTGCCATACCCTTAACAGGCTGGGACGAACGACAGTCCACTGTCACGACCAGATTTATTACTCTGAAGCGAAGGATGGGTGGATCTCTGTAGTCTAACTCCGAGGAACCTACTAGGTCGCGAGGAAGATAGCTTCACGATGTGGTGTTTCAAAGGCATCTGTCCGAACATATTCGGGGAAGGTGAGTTAATACCGCTTCTTCACTTGCAAGGCAAAGCCTAACACCAAGGGCAGGCGAATGCATATTATTCTGAATAACCATTAGCCGCGGAGACTCTTAAGTCGTCCTCGCCGCTGAGGGGAAGGGAGCAGCACGCATGCAGCAATCCTGCCCTTTGTTCACGAGCAGGGAACTATACAAGTCCTCCCTGGCAACGCTACGCCCCGTCCTCTCACGTTAGAGTTCGAACTCATTTTTGGCCGGCCACAAAATTCATGGACGGGAAGAACGAAGCCGCGCATGAACAAGCTGATTTCGACGACAGCTCCCCCAAGGGAGTGGACTCAGCAGTCAGTACCGGCTGCCAATTGACCCCGTCCTCTGTTTCTTTACTTCGACTACAATCACCAGGATATACACGACCATGAAACAGCCCAAGCAAGACTCCGGAGATGGGATTGCAAACTGTCAAGTGCAAACTTTCCCTAAGATCGCTGCCATGGTGCTTGGCGGAGACACATCTCCAGCCCACAGTTAACACAGCGAAAGAACAACCGGGACGGAACGAGTTCAGCTATCAAATAGAGACGTTTCTTGTTGTTCGATTGATCCGTGCGAATCATCCCGTCGTGAAACTAACAGGATAGCGTTGTTTCCGATGTCGCGCAACGAAGTTTCGCGCCTTTTTTGAACGCATCTACAGGCGCGAAATGCTCTCTCACCGTGTAACCGACTCCCTGAGGGTAAAATCCTTATTGGGACAAAATGGTACGTGACGTTTTCAACCCGCTCAGGCATTCGTTCTCAGGCTGATGAGGAGAATGTTATTTCAGCAGTGTTCATTACACATAAAACATCCCTGGAGATTTTGAGCATAAATCCCCTATGTTCTTTTCATGGATTCAACATACACGACCAACGGTTATAAGTTGCCTCTCCTGGATATGGCTTCAAGGAATGAAACGAGACTAGGTGTTAAAGCAACCCGGACCCCGGAGTTGACGGTGCTGTGGTTTATGATTCAACTCATGAAGGCCAAGGGCTCCCTCTTCCCGCGCACCAACCTAACTGCAGATCCCATTGTCCTTGACGCATACGACGTCCTTCACGGGTGGAAGTTGCTAGATTTACCTGGAAGCAAATACAAGGAGGGAAGAAGGCGAAAACAAAGCCCCACGCCTGCTTCGACTCGGGGCAAGGCGAATCGCACGACGCAGTTCGACAACATGGCAGATCAGCCACAGACGTACATCAGCATGCCGGCGGGGCACACCACACACTGCGTGAAGGAGATGTCATCGGAGTCTGGAACTCTATATTGCACAATTCGAAGAGGTAAATTCTCTCGACGAACCCCTTTCTGATGGCCCACTGGAAGAGGCTTCCATCATATCCGCCAACGGAGCCACGGTCAAGCAAGTGTTGCAAGCCGAGATGGACCTCGATGAAGACCCTAATGTCATCCCTGAGGATCATTTGGAAGAAGCAGTAAATGCTATAGACCAAGTCCTGTCCCGATTATCGACAGGAAGACGCTGCCATCAAAGCTGCCAAAGAAGCCAAGGTCAAGCGAGTGCTGCAAGTAGAGACTGATCTCGCTGAAGACCCAGATGCCCTCCTTGAGATGAACGAGGAGACTTTGGAAAAGGCAAAGAAAAGGTCAACGGAGTCTGGAACTCCCTACTGAACTGGGTTTCTGACCCAGTTGTTAATGGGTTCATCACTCACCCCAGTCCATGCACCCGCAATACGGGGGAGAGATGGGATTCTCCGACTTTCACCCCATGAAGGTAGCCGGAGGGGCTCGCCGGTCCTTCCTAATCACTCAATGCGAGCCGGGGGAATGGAGTCTGGAACTCTATTTTGAACTGGGTGTTTGACCCAGTGAACGGGTACATCACGCGCGCGAGTCTATTTTGTTGGTCTCCAGGACGCCGTCGATTCGACGCTACTTCGTTCACTTGTTTACTCGGGACCGAGTAACTCGGAGGCGATGGGCACATATATGGGCCACCATGCATGACCATACAATCAACCTTGTGCTACGATCAACACAACTGGAAGTCGAGAGAAAAAAAAAAAATTCTCTTGACCGACCTCAAGTCCGCCAAAGAAAATCTGGAAACTACCCGACCACTGGCAATGCATGCTCGGCCTGGAGGAACCAGGGCTTTTCAGACTTCAATACCCTGTAGGTAGCTGGAGGAACACCCCGTTCCTTTCTCATTACGCAATGCAAGGGCAGACGGCGAAGGGCAGCATGTAGTTTGGTTGGATGGGCAGACCAAGGACGCAACATGGAAACAGCCGCGCCTCACAGCGCCCCGCCTATGAGATCCTCGCAATCGGAAGAAGGGTGCGCTTCTTCCAATATTATCGAGCGACAGACAAAATCAGGGGCTGCAATCTGCGCAAAGAGTGCTATTCGCTCGAGCAAGAGGCTGCCTGTGTCCAGAATATCCTAAGACAGATACTCAGCAATCGATAACTTCTTTAACATCCTGCACTCGCGGACTGCCTTTATTCTTGCGAGCAGGCTTCGGCCACCACAGTGGCCTTGCTTTGCTGCGCTTTCATCGCTCTTCACAACGCAAGACTCCGAAGGGGTCAGTCTGTTTCGAACAACACAACAAATGTCACGGTGGTTATTCGTCATGTTGACCATCTATGCGTCCATTTATGGTTCACCTTTCCAGTTGCTGCCACACAGTCTCTGCTCTACCCGGCGGAATTCAGCCGGCAAGAATTGAAGGAAAAGATCAATGGGACCTTCCGCATCTTTGATGAGCCCTAGCGAGTCCGACTCCTTGAACCGCAGAGAAGCTCAAGATGGCATTATGGGCACTTGCAGTCCTTATCAAGGGTCAATTTGGCATTTGTCGCTGCCGCCAGATTGTCATTGCATAGGGGATTCAAGACAGAGGTCGAGAATTAACCCATAAACGTAGCCTATTCATCAAAAGTCAACTTGGATCGAAATATGTACTCTATATCATTGGCAACTACAAAGCCATGGATCGATCGGAGCGGAAACAGAAGCCTAGCCCATTCGTGCGAAGCTTTCTCAAGTACATCTCTCAACACAGGCATCGAGTGCCAGTCCCGGACGAACTTACAATCACTCCGCCGAACACCGCGGTTGAAGAGCAGAATGAAGTGCAGGCAAGTGGTACCTGGAATGAGAACGGCATGGAGCTGGATCGCCCGGCGGCCCAGCCTGACGCAAGCAACGACAGGCTCGCGCAACGTCTTTATTTTACTCCTACCCACCTAACTCCAAACAAGTTTGTTTGGAATATGAAGAAGCTTCGCCAGCTGGTCCTCCTTGTGTCTGGGTTGGATTTGATTACGTTGGTCAGCTCTCCATGCCGAGTCCATTCCCAGGATATGTTCAAAGCTGTCAGCGAGAGAAGTTGCCAAGGGAATATTGATGGATGTCGATTAATCTATTCCCATAGCGACGAATGGACCGGCTCGCTCATCTTCCCAAAGGTCTGGCGCCTGTTTTTGAACAGCAAAGACAGGAAACTCCTACTGTTCGCGCGACACCTTGCAATCAATTTCTCGGCTGATCCGCAGAGTCGAAAGCATGTCGCATCCCTCTACAATAGTTCATTGGTAATCAAACCCCTTCCAAAGATGAGAACCGGTCAGGACAAGTAGCACGATACATGGATGATCATCGCTCTCGCTTCGGCTTCTATTCGACCCACGAACGAGCAAGGCTTCTGATGAGAGCTCCGCTGATGTTCCGGCTGTCAGACCCCGTTTGGCACAATCAAGTAGCATCTAGTACCCGGCCATCCACACTTCTCCGGGGACAGTAGCGTGTCCAATGCTCCGCGCGCAAGAACGAATCACCATGTTCCTTTCACGCAGATTGAAGGCCGAAACGAGGTCTTCGAACCGGGAAAGAAGTTGCCGAGCTGTAGTGCGAGCCCTGGCCGAGGTCAAATGGATGGTAATGGGAAGTCCGCACCTGATCATGGGCAAGGACTTATCGACCTATACCAGGAACTTGATACCGGCAAAGAGGGCCTATCGTGGGTGATCGCACGATTGGAACCGGCAAGACAAAGAGCAGAGCTGTTATTGATTTTCGTGACATCAACGCTGCTGTAATTACAGACATATATCCAATGCCGTCGCAAACTGAAATAATTGCCGAATTGGCGGGATGTCCATACATCACGATTATGGACGAACTCATATGTCTATGGACATCTTGCGTCTTTACGTGCGACTTTCGGAAGCTAGGGCTTTCCAAACCCACCGAAGGGAGACAAGAAAGATAGCAACTGAAGATGAAGAACAAAAGTTCAATCCATCAGAATTTATCCAATCGGACCTAATGCCGCAAAGCGCTGTTGATGGCCGGAAATTGGACGATCAGTGACTCTGCAAATAGAATCAAGGTTACTACACGCTCCGCTCGCCGTGCTCGTGCTCGTCGCGGACGTGCCGCACCACCTCTGCGATCCAGACGAGAACTTCATCCCAATAAATGTGTCCTTTAAGAGCCAGGTTCTGATCTCTCGGCTCGTCAACAATATGAAAGCGGATGATCGGATCACCTCGCTAAGCCATACGGGTTCCCGTCTAAATCTTTGGAGAGGTATGTGATCCGGCTCACCATGAGCGAAGAAAGGACACTCAATAGTTGCGAGATCATCGCACTGCATGCAGTCATACTCTAGCAAGTGGTGGCCCTTCATCTGTTCCTCGCCAGAGCCAACTATAACAGCCATCTCGGGCTCATCTCGACTCGCAACTCGCGTTGCTCAAACTGGCTCTTAGTCAATGAACTCGAATACTAACAGAGGTTCGGTGTACAGGGCCTGGGCCCTCTATTCCGAGGTAAATCTGGACACCTGGTTCCCCAGCCTTTTCGTGCACTAACAGCAAAAGAACGAGAGCAAAAGAAGCTCACCTGATCCCTTACGAGATCAACTGGCTCCAATGGTCGACGTTTATCAGCCACTTTCTCCGAGCGAAGAAGCTCGAGGGAAACAAGAAGAACTCTATGTCACGTCCGCCTGCGTTTAACACCTTTGGCGCTACTTAAACTGCATCCCCATAAAGAGCTTAACCAGTGTTTTACTAAATAACCCTTCCCTGTGGTTATTGAATCCGGCTGGAGTGAGAGATAGCGATGTCCTCCGCTGCATTTGTATCTAGTCTACAATTTGCTGCAAGGGAACGATTTCAATTTCCGGTGAAGATCACTGAAAAGTCAAGGTAATTTGTATCTACCTTCTACAGAGGTCTTACGACTGATCAAATTGCCGTGGTCGTGGGAGGTGACACGGATGACTGGAGATTCCTTAGCCCGTTCATCGTCTTCTCGTCGTCCATTCCTTGTACTGCACTGCTGTTCGTGACCTGTTGCTCGGTTTCTTTGATTCTCTCTTATCACTTCTGCACTTCAAAATTCTCTCCAGAGCGAGGCGTCAACATAAGAAGAACAGGAAGCAAGGCAACAGGAGCAAGAAAAGGGCAGATGGCCAAAAGACCTGGACAATCCCTGATTCAATATCCCGTCCAAGAGAGAAGAGCTAGACAAACTGGCCAAGAAAGGAAAAGTACCCCCAGTGGACAAGCTGGAGCAGCAAGCCTTTTCCTCGGGCAGTCAGATAACACAGATCCAATTCGCAGCACTGAGGATCACTTCGTGAATGTCAGGACCCGCAAGAAGTTGAATTAATCGAACCTGAAGAGCAATATAGTCTTTCCATCGGTTTCGTACGAGGCAGAAAAGCTCATTGAAACTGCGAAGAGCTCAATGTCTTTACGTATACACCAACACGACCTGCGAATACCGACTTGGCTGATGTCCAAGTGTTTAAACCGATTACGGAAGGCAATATCACTCAAGCAGACAAGCACCAGAACTGGCCTTTTGGCTTTAGCCCGAGGGCGAGACCACGGTGTTGGCAGTCTTGCGGTGCCTCGAGGAGACCAGGTGGCTTGTTCTTGGCTTACGACATCCTGTCATTGTGTACACGGACCATATGGCAGTGAAGTCCGTCCTTGGGAGCCAGTCTGACGCGACTGGACGTCTAGCCAGATGGCACTATAGATTGCAGGAGTACGATGCTGAGTACGTCCATGTCCCAGGCAGGCTTCAGGTCGTCGCCGACGGCCTTTCCAGGATTCCGCACTGGAAGGCCACGACATCTGAAGAGGAGGACTTTACCATGCTGACATTCGTGACCGCTCAGACCGGTTTGCAGCCCAAGGAAGTCACAGAAGAGGAATCATACCGCCCATACCTACAAGACGATTGGTACCGGCGGATTGTTGGGAAGCTCCTCGCTGGAGACATTGATAAACGGTTCAATCTAGTGAACGTCGAAGGCGAGTACCATCTCGCTTACCGCGAGGCAAGCGGCCGTTGGGCACGATGCGTCCTACAGACCGAACTGCCGGCGATTCTATATGAGCTACATGACATACACGGCCATTTCGCTCCCAGGATTTCGCTGGGAAGGGCAATTGGGAAATACTATTGGCCGCAGCGGTACAAGACCTTGGTTAAGTACTGCGAGAGTTGTCACCAATGCCAAATCGTCGGTCTCAAACCCCCACGAGAAATCCCGCGGGCCGTAGTATCCCGTGAGCTGATGCAGTTGTTCGCTATGGATTACATTGGCCCAATCAAACCTGTGTCTAAGATGGGGGCGCAGTACATCCTCGTGGGAGCAGACTACTTCTCCTGATATGTTTTCGCCCATACGACTACCGCAGCCACAACTCAGGTGTCGGTCTACTTCCTTAAACATGTCGTTGGACGACACTTCGGCTTACCGCAGTACCTTTACACGGATAATGGAATACAGTATCACTCAGGCATGTGTCCTCGACAAGCTCTCCCGACAGCGGCCAGCCATTTGGCAAGCCAGGCAACGAATATACATGTTACCAGCGAGGCAAACGTCAAAAGCAGGAACTCAAAGGACTAGTCACACTTGCCGCGCAAATACGTTTCCTCCGACGTAGTATAGAGATACTACATATCTCATGGCACTGTGGGTGGGAAATCCACATGACGTTGAATTCATGGAGTTCCTTTTACACAATCAGACACCCCAGATTGGCCCCAACCCTACCAAACGCCAACGGTGAAACCCCTCTCACGAAGGCTATGCGCTCGGGGCCCCCGGATATGGCGAGATGACTGATGGATATCGGTGTTGATGTTAAACATGAAGACGGCCGCGGGACTACTGCAGCGCACCTTGGCTGCAGAGCTTCCAACCGAAGAGAGTATTACAATGTTGGAGATACTACTCCCTCATGGCCAGATACGGACATTCCAAGTATGCGCTCTCGTCATCTGTAGCTGTACCCCAAACAGCAGCCTAATACCGTGTGGCCGTCTAAAAGGCAGTTACCCCCAAGCTACGTAGTCCCCAACAGCGAGGTTTTCCTATCGTCACAAGTTCAACCCAGTATGGCGGTGATCTCGATTCTCGCTTAGTACGAAGTCACCTACGCTCTGTACGATAGTCTACAGTCTACATACTTTTGCATGCAGTAACGAATCAATCAATATCATCATACTCCATTGTATTATTCTACAGTACCTTTTACAAGCCGAACTGGATGACTCATGTGGTTTTGGTGGCTCTGCGCTTAGCAGCCAGCCTGTTGTCGATCCGACAGGGCTATTTGCTATGGCAAACACTCCTCTCCTTCCGCTTCTCTCCCTCTTGGCTAGATTTAGATCTCCGAGCTCCATTCTCTCCTTCCTTCATGAGGATCAACTCATGTGGACATGGTGACTGCTGGTATGATCAACAGTATGCCGCATAACTGGGACGAGGGTGGAAGCTTGGTTAAATTCAACCTTTTACATGGCCCTCCCCTTCCCCTAGCATGCATGCCATCTCAGAGCCTGCATAACGGATCACTACATGCTGCGCTAAGTGCATAGATAGTTAAAAGCGTGGATTATCGTATATCGAATCTCAAGTTGAAGATGGACTTTTGGATTCTGACGCTGAGGAATGTATATACGAGTATGCTCCATTCCTAGTCAGTCCATGGAGTACAAACCCGAAGGTACTCCTCCTGCTGCTGATTGGATACCATCTGGTGAGGCAAGCTTCCTTCGAAAATGGTGGATATGTTACTCACCACCGGTGTTTGCCATACGCATGTGTTAAAGGGGACAGAACCAGCTTCCAACATTTAGAGAAATTTGTATTGAATTATGAATATGGAAAAGTTTTTTGTTCAGCTCTTCGACAGAGTAGCAATCGAAAATTCATATCATCGTAAACAAGGCCAGCCGTTCCCATCTACTCCCAAACGCCGTTAATGCTAATCATGGAAACAAATCTAAAATCATGGCAGTACATCCTTGAGGATATCCTTCTGCGCGGTCGTCAGACTGGTCGGGAACTTGACGTTCACGCGGACGACGAGATCGCCCCGCTCGCTCGGTTTCTTTGACATCGTCATGCCCAGGCCCGGGAACTTTTCTTCGTAGCCAGGTGGTGTGGGCCCGGGCTTGGAGACACGGATGGATTTGCCGTCGATGGTGCGCACGATACGTTCCCAGCCTGTCAGGGCTTCCTTGAGAGAGAGATCGACGGTTGTGATGAGGTTGTCGCCCTGGCGTTTGAAGTTGGGGTTCGGTTTCTATTCGGTCCGTTAGCATTATCCCATCCGGACTTGGTCTTTTTGAGTGTTGTAATTTGCAAGAACTTACCTCTGTAACAATGAGATGGACATCCTGGCGTCCGCCCTCTTCCTGGTCTCCGACACCACGGTACTTGATCTTCGAGCCCGTCCGCAGACCAGGCTTGATATTGGCCTCCAGCGTCACGTCCTGGACGGTCCGCTTCCCGCTCGCATCAAACGTCTTGCTCTTCACCGTCACCTTCTTCGTCGTTCCCTTGAAAAGCTCATCCAACGTCAACGGCAACTCCTTCTCCACGACCGTCGGCTCAGGCGTTGGAGCCCGGTTCGGCTGCTGGAATCCTCCACCTCCCGCACCGCCACCACCAGCACCAGCACCAGCGCCGCGACTCGTCCTGAACCCACGACCACCACCACCTAGCCCGCCGCTGAGGATATTGAACAGGTCATCATCTTCCAATCCACCGCCCATACCGCCCCCGCTCGCCTTCGCAAAGTTCCGGAAGATATCATCCGCCGAGCTGAAGCGGAACCCGCCGCCGCCGCCTGGACCAGTCGAGAAATGGAACGTGCGGGTTCCTCCGCCGCCGGGCATCCCACCGAAGGAGAACCCGCCAGGCATGCCGCCCTCGAAGCCTTCGAACCCGCCTGCACCGGGGCACCGCCGGGCCCTGGGGCCGGGCCGCCGCGCAACAGAAACTCGAGGCCGTATTGGTCGTACACTTTACGTTTCTCGGGATCGGAGAGGACTTCGTAGGCTTGAGAGACCTCTGCTTTTGTTAGCACGGCTCACCCTCTGACAAAGTCTTGTGATTGGGAGCAACTTACCCTTGAATCTCTCCGACGCCTTGGGATCATCTTTGTTCTTGTCCGGGTGATATTTCAAAGCGGCTTTCCGGTATGCCTTTTTGATGTCGTCTTGTGAGGCATCGGGTTTGATATTTAGAGCGTCGTATAATTTCGTTTCTGCGACCATTGTGTATAGCTATGCTCAATGTGCTGTGCGTTATGGGGTAATTGACGAAGGTAAACAAGAAAAGAATGATAATATAAACGATTAGACTGGGGAAATAATCAGGCCACAATTGCACCCGTCATGCGATAGTGTGGTATAGCGTTGTGGAGGAGAAGATTGGTGTAGGCTGAAGGGGAATCTCGAATGACGTAGAAGATTCCTGTTGCGATAAGATGAGGCTTGTAGTTGTTGCGTTGCACGGTTGTCGGCAGAACGACAACGAACAGTTCGATTCCAAGATGGATATATGCACAATACAAAGCCACCCTAATACGTTTTGTTTGAGAGAACCGTCGAGAGGAAGAGGAAGAGAACGTGGTTGGGCTGCTGGCTGGTTATCTTGAATCGCGGAGGGAGTGACGTGTGACGTTGATGGCCCAGTTCCCCGCCTGAGGCATGGAAGCTTCGAGAGGCTTCGATTGGTTGACGTATGATATCAGGTTCGTTTCAGGGAAACGCCAATCTTTGTAGCAAATAGACTATTGTCTTGTTCAGCCATGTATCTAAATATATCAACTGTCAAGCTCTTGTTGCAGTACAAGGAACCGGATTGTGGCGGAATTGCCTCTTGCGGGGTAGATAAAAGCACCATATATCCACGAGTATACCCGGTATCTATACAAAGTATGTCCTATCAACATGGCTTGTAATATCCACTTCTTTCTCCACAACTACCCAATCCTTAATCAGAGCAGTCCCGTTGACCACGCTCTGGATCTGCTCTTTGGTACAACTACTCCGCAATGACTGGATATAGCATGTCGGCTCCGGACTCTCAGGTACCTCATTCTTGAACTCCCATGTCGAGGATGGGCCCTCGCTAGCGTATGTGGCATTCTTCAGCAGTGACACCTTCCCCGTCGCAATGTCACGGCTAAACAAAGCCCGGTGGAAGATCTCATATGCTGTCTGCGGTTGATACGCCGGCACCTCATGGCCCGCTTCGAAGACACGCGTGAAAGAAAAGTTGCCGTACTGCCGCACACGGCCCCCAACGTACGACGAGTTGGTCTGAACCGGGGCGTAGCCTGCTGCCTGGAACGACTGTGAATCAGAATAGTTGACGCGGAGACTGACCTCCTCGCCGCCGTTCCAAGGACATGCGTAGTCCCGGTCCCCGTAGACGAGCGCCACTTTGATACCCGAGTCGAGGACGTACGCCAAATCCTCGAGGTACCCGTGCACGTCGGAGCGCGGGTAATCGCCCGTCGACCCGAACGCGTTGTATGTACTGTCCACGGAGATGGAGAAGTTGACGGGCACCCCCAGCGCGGCTTGCACCCAGTTCTGGTTCAGGAAGCCTTGGAAGTAGGGTGGCGGGAATGGATCTGGGTCAAAGTGCGCGATATCGTAGTAGCCACGCTTGGAGAAGAGTACGTAGGGACCCTCCACCTGGTTGCTGCAGTAGTCGTTCGCCTTTTGACAGGCCTTGTTGACCGTCTCATTGCGCCCGGACATGGTGGGATCTCCCTCGGCCGCTAGCTGACGGCACTCGACTATCAAATCCTTGCAGCCGCCAGGCTTTCTCCACGCATCCATTGCCCTTTCGTAGACGGTCTTGTTGATCGTCTCGATGCCGTAGGTATTGTTGTACGCCATTTCCGGGTAAAACGGAGCTTGCGTCAACAAATCCACGCACCCATTGATAATTCCCAGCGTGTCCAGGTGAATATAATGGTACTCATCTGGTAACATCCCCCGCTCAATCTTCTCATTTTGTTCCTGAAAGAACGCCGTGAACGACGGCCCGTACCGCCCGCCATAAGACTCAGTCCAGATACTCACCCGGTCATCGTGCGG